ACTATAACTAAGAACCTATAAGAGTAGCTAACGGTGTCATAAATAAAATGTCGAAAATACTGATACGAGAGTTTCAAACCCCAACTGGAGATTCTCAACTTGTGTTAAATTTCAAACCATGGACTTCTCTACAGACCGTACGTTGTCAACTTGAATACTGTTAATTAAATCATTGGAATACTTATTCATCGACAAGAACCACTATAATAACAGTTGTAACGGTGTCTTTCAAGGTCGCGAAGACATCTGCTGCAAGGGTTCCCCAGCTGGAGTTATCGGACTGCAGCAGAGCCAGGTGACAGGCCAGCTGTACAGTTGACCTTTCAGTGGACAGATGGCGCCCTACATCACCGCCCTTGGACACCCAACATCTTGCGACACCGCCCTACTATAGTGTTCACTATAGTAGGATTCTTATGACTTGGGGTCTACGACATTACTTCAGGTGACACTGCTCTGCTATAGTGTTCACTATCCTAGGAATCCTATGACTCTACTACGACATTACTTCAGGTGACACTGCCCTGCTATAGTGTCCACTATCCTAAGATTCTTATGACTTGGGGTCTACTACTAGGTGATACTGCCCTACTATAGTGTTAACTATCCTTGACTCTTATGACTTGGAGTCTACTCCGACATTACTTCAGATGACACTGCCATACACTAGAGTTCACTATCCTATAATATTGTAACTTTAATCCTGGGGTAAATTTACAACATAATAAAGACAGGGACTACCACCCTACTTAGGCTTTAACACAGCCGCCTTGTGTTGTTATTATAGTAAGAATTGTTTAAATTAAATCTGAAGCGACGTTACCTACTTAGTCGGATAGTGTCCACTATAATTGGAATCTAGTTTTTGTTGCTGAACTGAGACTACATTACTACGATAACACGGTTGTATTGTGGTGTTCACTATCTATGAGATCTCTTAAATTTAAATCGGAAGCGACATCATCAACAATGACTTCAACCTAACCTACTATTCACTATTGTGTTAACTGACCTGTTAATCTTATGTCTTTGAGTCATTGAGTCCAAGAAATATTAAAAAACAGGATATTTGAATGCGTGACTATTTAATGCGTTATGGGCCATCAGATTCACACCACATCTTGTTCCATCGCCATAAAACACCCTAAATTAAATTACAATCGGTCAAACAAAAAGGTTTGAATTGTTGCGAATCCGATTTATAACTTATGCAAAGTATACAGTGTTCATTTGGTCCAAATTTGAAACTAATGCCAACAAAGGGGTTTTCCCAATTACACATCTAATTACACAACACAATTAACTGTACAAATCTGTTGAATAACTCTATTCAGTTTCTTCCTAGTTACTGAGGAGTGAGGAGAGCAATGTTAACTGTTGAATGTTGGGTCATGAGAATGTTTCAACAGCCCCGTTTTTCACGTCAATTAGTGCAAGAGAGCAGTTAGCCGAGTGTATTGTTCTTCTTTCTTTCACACTCAGCTCTGATTGTTGTGTAACATTTTTTGCACGGAAACATTGGGTAAGCTTCACGTTTATGCATAACCATTGACTATTGTCTACCAAGGGTCACCTATCTTTATCATTTATCAAAATAAGAGGTGACGTGGAATAACCACTAGAAAACAAAATACTGTAGTAGTCCCAAAACATTAAACACTCTTTCTTTAGATTGTAGTTATTAATTAAATATCCAATGCACCACAATATGTAATAAGCCAACGGATTTTCCACAAATTATCCAATGCATAAAATTTGGAATTTTTATTTCTTTCTTGTTTGAACTTAGGTTTCGTATTTCGCAATTAGAAATTCATTACAATGTGTAATTACGAAATCCCTATCCATTCACGTTTGGGTAAACTAGATAAAATTAGATTAATTTTATCCCGTATTTTATCCCTCATACATAATAAGTTCATAATAAGTAGGCCTAATAAGTACGGATTCTTAAAAAAATAATGTTTTACACCAGTATTAGGCTGGTTCAGTAATAAAACTCCCTGTTCTCTCCAAGGAACCAAGGAACCGTTACAAATCGCAAACCCTTGCATCACCCAACATGAAATACGAACGACCAATCTCGCACGGCACAAAGAAGCCGGCCCGACAATGAAAAGTGATTTCGATAATTTCACACGAACCGTCGGGAAACTCGCGGAGAAATAATAGTTATCTTATCCCGGACACCGAATAACTACGAACAATTACTTTGGTCGGTGTTTTGCGATTGGTCGCAGCGTTTCAGTAGTATTGGCAAGGGGAACGAACTTTTGGACGGGGGTCACCGCCGAATCCTGACCGCACGTTTTATAGGCCCACTTCATTACGGTATAATTTTATATTTATATTAAATCACCGCGGAGGGCATAATGTAATAACGGGGGTGTGTTGGGAGTAAAATACTGTGGTTCTGGGCGCCAAACGCATAAAGGCTTGGAGCTCTCACGAATTTAAGTTTATGGTGTCCACCGTGAAGTGGGATTTGGAGGATCGTTAACTTCTCATATTGATGTACACTAATTTTAATCATATCCTAACAATGGTATTTGTTAATCCAGCAAAACTTCATATTCAAATTGGTTCGTACAATGTAGAAGAAAAAGCGCAATATGCATTTTAAAAGAGCGTAGTACTTTTTCTCTCGACTACAATAAAAGTAAATACATTTGCGCAACAATATTGTAGCCTATGGACCGTCTAAACTAAAACTACCAACAAACTATTCCTTCAAGGCAAGGAATCCCTATATTTAGATTCCAAACGACAAAACATTCAGGGTCAGCCCCAACAAGAATTGAAGAATCCTAAAAATTACATTGGAAACGTTCCGGCAGATTTGTGATGATCAAAGGGAAGGAATTCGTCAACCTTCCAAAGCCTATTCATTAGGCAACACAACACACACGCCCATTAGTGTGTGACATCCGTGCGTCTATTTGTCTTTCGTCGGCTTCCTACAGTTGTACAAACAGGACAGGACATAGACCTCCAAATACAGCAATGCACACTTGTTCGGAGGTCTTTGTGCGGGTGTATCCTCCATGACGAGTTTCAAGGAGTGATAGTACTGGCACCCACTTCCGTTCACAGATTGGTCTTTTTCCGGTTTTCCACCTTGGCTTGAAGAAATTGGGAATTGAAGCTTTCTCGTGGATGGGAGCATTTCTTTCCAAGCATCGCGAAAATAGCCAGATTCACAAATACAGAAGGAACATTATACAGTAATAGTAATTGGATTTAACTTTCTTGAATGAACACTGGTTTAAAGCGTAATTAATGGCATAGATAAAAGGAGTAGAGTGTCTATACTCCTGTTATCTATGCTAATGGTGAATTCAAAGCTATGTGACCTCATGTACAAGAGGGTTGCGCTGCGATCTTCAGAAATGTGAAATCCAGTTTTTTTCTTATCGTTCAAAAGTGGACGTCATCGATCATTGGGCTTATGTACATGGTCCTACCAGAGACCACAGAATATAATTTTTCATTTTCATATTTTATTCTGTGCTCTCTGAACTCTGGTACTGGCTAATACCACTAATACCTAGCTGATCTTTACAGTAGTAGGTAAGTAAAATCTATAACGGCAAGCTCGCTCCATTCTACACACTCGCACATTAATACTCTCTCGATTTATTAATTCTTTGCAGCTTAAATACAAGAAATACTACGCTGCCCTACAAACCATTTACAACCCCTACATCCCCTCAAATCATTTACCTTATTCCGATAAATCTATTTCTATTACCTAACCCATGTATTGACATTTTTTCTGATTTATATAATAAAATGATTTATATAATGTTATGATGATATAATATAATCATATAATTATATAATATAACGATTTATATAATATATAATGAAATATGTTTTCCGAGACTTCGTAACGACGTATTTTGATACTATATCCGGCGGTTCTCAATAAAATCTTACGACATCATACGATAACGGACTCAATAATAATTTAAGACGTGCATTCAATGCGGTTCTCGCAGGTTCTTGATATTTAAAAATGACAAAAAAATTCGACTGAAGAGATATTTGATTTCTTTAGAAAGCAGCTATGCCGGCTACCTCCCTTCTGAATGCCGGCCCATGTGTTGGAGGTCTATCTTTCTATAGGGTGGTTCGCGGAATTCTACACCTTTATAATCGCCTCTCCATTTCGTTGCACAAAACTGCTTCAGGAATCTCACAAATGTCTCATTTTCTCACGCGGATCTTCGTTCACTGTCTCACGATGAGAATTTCACGAATAATCCTCTAAAATATGTCGTGTTTCAACTAATTTTCCCTACTTTACACCCTACACTGAATACGTCATTAATAAATTCATACATAAATGTAATAACTTTGAATTTTAACAAACAATATACATTTTCATAACATATTGTACAGTAGTTTGTTTTTACTTTTGTCGACGTAGTTCACAATTTGGTATTGAACTAAACCCCCAAATTAGATAGGTACTGTAAATAAATTTGAGTTCAATCACTAAACGATGAGTAGAATTGTGGTTATAAGACCTTTTATACTTCATTATAGTATTATATTATACGTCTTTACTAGACAATAACTTACATAGTAAAAACTAATTATTGCAGTTTCATCGAGAGTAAACGATTAATTATACTATACGTTATATAAGTCAAGTGGGAGTTTTGAAAACACTGAGTGTGGAAAGTCAAAACATGCTTTTGCCTATGGGATTAAATGTCTCTCAAAAAGAGTTGTTACAAATTACAAACCCACTTTTACTGCTGTACCGCTGGCTCTAAAACTGTATATGTGTTATAAAACTTAAAACAATGCATTATACGCGGCTGAATGTGTATTCTATAGATACGGTATAGGCTGGATATTGAAAATCGTACCGCAATAAAAAAAAAGGTTTTACGAAAAGAACGATTTGTTTTATACATAATTTTAAAGTTGGTTAAGCAATATTTTTAAGATTTCCCCCCTGTATTATTTATTTGATAATTTACGCTTACCTTGCGAACGGCTGATCCTCCACCTCATAGTAATCCTCAATAGGCTCAGTTCTGATGAGTCGCTTGGCTTGTTCCGCAGATAGCTCCAGGTATCCTGGTTGGGACGACATCACCACAGGTGTCAGAGACACCACTTCCCGCATATCCTACAGTTCACACCCGCCACTGTCACTAGGCACTTCACGAACACGGTAGGAGCTGGTACATCCACTCTCCAAAGCGGTCGAGCCACGAATGACGCGTGAACGGCCTTGTAGTGAAAACTTACTATCGATAGTACTATCGATAGTATCGATAGTTTAAAAATATCGATAGTGGGTCGATAGTATTGGACTATCGATAGTTTTTGTTTAGGTTAAATTATGTAAAAAAATCCTTTTCTGTTACTCTCACATTTCATTGTTTGTCTGTTAATGCATACCTATTGTTAATATTATAGCCTAAGTTTTTTTTTTCAAAGTTTATTGTAAAAAGGACCTTCTTAAACATTTGAAAGAGGGGGCATTTGCTAATTCACTATTACCGGACTTATGGGTACATTTGCCTTATGGGTTTTAGCATGGATGGTGGGGTTTGGTATGGTGTAGAGTAGACACCGGTATACGGTAAAAAATTCTCTTGCCATTTTCTTTTTATTATTCATTTAACAAATTATTTTATACTCACATAGCATAAATATATAATATTTTTAGTGAATAATAAAAGAACATGGTAAAACTTATTGTTATTTTATACCAATGTTATAATATTTTGGAAAATAAAAAATCATAAAGGAGGCACCAGGACGTCACTCACAAATTGTTAAAATTAATAATCTGATACAGCTTTATCTTCGACTAGGTAGAAACCATTGATTAAACCCATTCAGGAAGGATATACAATATTATATGCATTAAAACTCCATTTGAGTAACTATCGATAGTACTATCGATAGTATCGATAGTTTTTAAAAAACTATCGAAAAATATCGATAGTGTGACTATCGATAGTAAGTTTTCACTACGGCCTTGCGGGTCGCGCGAGGTGAGGGAGAGGGAGGGGAGCGCGTGCAGTTCCATTGTTGCACAGCTGTCCTACCCCTCCCCCAGCTGACTGACAGCTGATTATTGACACTAGCTTTGTTGTCGCCGACGCAGAAATGTTATGATTACCGCGGCGTGCAGTGTCCATTTGTGTTAACGCGGTGTGTTTGATTTGTTGTATACTACGATTGTCCACGATTAATTGTATATTATTATATTTTTACGCACTACCTCTTCTCTTCAAAGGATGATTCTATATGAAATACAGTGGAACCTCGATGACAGGACTCTCGATATCAAATCACCCTTAATTAGAAGTATCATTTTCTCCTTGAATTTATTTTAGGACTACCCCTAATCTCATCAATAATATGATATTGCAAACCTTGTTAAGATGTCAACCTTGTCAACTCTAAATGAATTATCCTTTTGAGAGTCTTGTTATAGTTACATTTTCTAATTGTGCATGACAAGCAGTTTTGTAAGTGTTTGGGCGACCAACATATTTACCAAGAATATAATATCCTCATAAGAAATTCTTTAAAACAACGTCTTGTAGCAGTTAAGAATCAATAAAATTTGATTCCCTAAATAAATACAATTTTACACACTATCCCTTAGATTATAAAATATAATTTTGACAATATTTCCCATAGATTTATAGCACTACAGTACACTAATAATCATAGTGGGCGAAACTAATTCCTCATAAGTAATGTTCACTAAAGTTTTAAATATACATAGAATTAATATAATAAATAAATAATAGCGGCTTTATAAGGCAAACGTACATCAGATGCAAAGCGATTCTGTAATGAAAACTGTTTCCAAATACTTACAAATAAAAAAAATATAGAAATATTTACTTTACTGTCTATTTATTTTGTTGTATATTTTATAATTTAGTATAAGTAATGGGTTTCCTGGAAGTTTTTCGTGATAGCCTTTTATACAGTACAGTACAACAATTTACACCTGGAACCAGCGTGTGCATTTTAAATTAATAACAATTCTTTCAAGATTCTTTTTTTGACAATCTAATCTCGATAAATTTTAAAACCTCTGTTAACTTAACGGCTAACCCTGTATTGTAAGAACACAGAACAAAGGTCCATCATCTAACACACCGCTACAAGTGCCTACCATATGCATAAACCCACTCCAAGCGCTACAGCACTACCAAGGCAATCTACACTTGCAGTTCCGTTGCATTTCCCATTACACGCTCTCTCACATTGAACACATAAACTGTTGAAGACGTTCCATTGTAGTCACAGTTGCAGTAACGGAGTCCGGAATAACAGGTTCAACGGATCTGCAACGCACGCGATCTACCTACGCTACTTTGCACACGAATATACATGTTGATCGAGCATTCATTTGCAGAAAATAATATGTCTACGATAGTTTATAAAAGTATGCAATAGTCAAAGTTGGCCTTGTTATAAATTTTAAGATTTAGCATGGCAGATCAATTTCTCCAGTTACAAAGTCCAAAAACGTGCACGTGTTTTAAATACTGTTTGGTTCAACATTTTACTTAGTTACCTATCTAAAAAGGGTTCACCGTTGATCCGAAGGTGGCAAAGTACAAGGCTGTAGTTCAGACGCCATAGAATCCCAATATTTGTCAGTTCCTTTTAAATAAATTGGTATTCAGATCCAAAGTGCAAATAAAATATTGCATGCTATATAATGTTAAAATAACCGAATACTGTCATTGCACGTCTACATTTGTTAATATAATCGTAAGAAAAGCGTTTTTGCAGTTTTATAATTGTTGAAATTATTACTTCATGAAGTGGTAGGGTTATGTTTTTTCCTCTCCGTCTCAGTAAAATAGAAATACACTCAAAATACAATTTTGCTAATTAGAATATAAGTTTAAAAATACTATGCAAACGTTAATAATCTTCTATACACTATAAATTGTTGTATTACTTTTTTTACTTGACAAGACTGAAAATGGGTAATTCCTTTTTGTTGTTTGTTTATATTTAAAAAAAAAACATTTCTCCAAAGCTACTAAACAAAATGATGTAACCCATTTTAAAAAAAACCGCTATTAAAATTGATAACTGTGGTGCATACACATAGAGGAATTTTTTAACTATTGCTATACAACTTTGGTATGGTTTTATCATTGTTATGATTATAAACTATATCATTAGGAAGTGGCAGCATGTGATGGAAATGTACTCAATCAATGATGATGTATCTGTCGCACTTGATAACACGTCACCAACAACGAGAGAAATTCCAGAGGAAATGACTCTGCAGTGGGGAATCCTACCATAGTAACATCTACAGTACTTACAACAACTACGATGAGGGAGACCTGGAATTTTTATTTCATTTATTGGATAGTTATTGACATAGTCTACAGATAAAACACTAGAGTTACCCTCAATATCAATAACAATAATTAATTGTTAGAAAAATTGGGGTTTCCTTGAATTTCACAATCTTACAATCTAATAACTGTAATAATATGAATGATGTTTTTTACTTTTTTTATATAAACATTCCCAAAAATTCTAACAAGGCTGGTTTGTGATAATTATTTAAATATTAGTTCACAGGTGATATTTTATCTGGAATTACATTTAATACCGTCTTACATAGAGACTGGTAATTCCAGTTACTTCCCAGTAAGAAGATTCGCGAAACTGCGTAATTCATAAAATTTCTTCAAGATCAACTTAGGAGATGTTAAATTGGATTTATCATAAAAATACCATTGTTATTATGGAATTTAAATTCAGATTCCACCGATGATATATTTTCACTATTATGCTAACGTTCTGAACCTAGGTATTTAGAGAGAAAAATACTTCTAAATAAAAGAACCCCCTTTTCATAACAAATAGAGGACAATTGTATGGGGTTTCGTCTTGTAGCAACAGGTCATTCCTTTGTAGCGACTGACTTTGACTTTCTAATACCGTTACTTGACGTTCAAGTCAGGACCTGAAGTGCTAAATAGTCCGAAATTGGCCGCCTTAGGCCGGGGCCACACGTGGCGGATCGTCCGCGCGGCTTATGATCGTACGATCATAAGCCGCGCGACGATGTCCCGGCCACACGGAGCGGATGAACCGCTTCCGGTTGAGGTTTCCCAGCCTACGCACAAGTACTGTAAGACTAGAAAATTGTTTAATTCACTCGTTCTAGTTGTAGTCATGGACGAAACACTTATGTTAGTTTGTGCATGTGTGTTAAAACCATAGTTCGGAGTTTTTTTTTTCACTATCGCATGACCGCATATAACTTAGGAAGATACACTCATGAGAAATGTACAACATGAAATACAACATGATAAATCCCACATTGTCTTTAACAAGTTCTGTTAATTTGTCTGTATCGAACATTTTACACCTATAAACCGAAACGCACACTCAAACTCAAAACTCAAAAACTCAAAACACAACTCAAAAACTCAAAAAAACAACTACAAATGCTTAAAAATTAGCTCCAACCGCGCGGACAATCCGTATCGTGTGGCCACTCTCATAAGACTACGTGTGTCATCCCCTCCAACGCGGCTTATGATCGCGCGGACAATCCGCGACATGGCGCGGACAATCCGCCCGGGCGGCTTAGGATCGCCCCGTGTGGCCACTCTCATTTGATTCAATGTGTTGTCGGACCACGCGGATCATCCACGCGGACCGTCCGCGCGGATGATCCGCGTCGTGTGGCCCCGGCCTTAGTGTGAGTGACTCACGTATAATTCCCTGAAAAGACCCAATTGGAACTTCCTCAAGCTTGAAAATTGAAAATGTAAAACCGGTTTACGAATAGCATTAAAACTCAAACAAACTCCGAAACTCCATATGAACAGAAGGATTAGCTCGTAGCTCGTAGTTAAACCATGCATAGTCTGAACAATGGAAAATTTCGCAAAGGTTATAAGACACATTCTGCCTACAAATCGGCTCACGGCATTCTTTGTTTTTAGGCTGCCATACAAGTAATTTCGTTACGTGTTGTGTATGGTTGTAAATAGGGTGAAACAGACATTTTATGAATTATATTGTATTTGTTGTTATCAGGTTTGGATTGACTTGGTATAAAAAGCCTTTAAAAATCAGAAAAGTTGAACGGTTGCTTGGCGGGTTTTTGATCCATTTAAGTATCCTACTTTTCAGAGCAATTAAATTCTATCAAAACACTTTACAAATCTTCTACAAGGAACGGG